CAAAATGATTTTGCCGACCCAAACTAGCTGCTGCATCATTGATAAAAACTTTTAAAGTTCTCTACCATCATTGGACATTTGTTTTAATGGATCAAAAAACTTTCTGTCGAAGTACATTCTAGTTCTTGTTCGTTAATCCTTCCTTTAGCGCCAAATGTGGAACAGGAAGAACGGGCTGGACGAAGACCTCGAAGGAATTCTGACTCTTTTCTTTGTCTCAAACCAAATGAGAATGAGATGGCCCTGAAGAGGTTAATGGAAGAAACAGAAGAAAAATGGCGGAAAGAGAAAGAAATTCTTGAATTAAGGATCACAGAGCTCGAGGAAACCTTGAAGGCGGAAAGGACGAGTAATTTGAACCGTAAGCATCCAACTACCTACTTACACCAAACAGACTTTTGAATATTGTAGGAAGAAAAAATTTTGAGCAAATATACACGTTTGTGGATTTGTGGTATATTCTTCCCACAAATTGATTCGATTAATGGTACCTGTCGCTCTTCCTAAGAACCGTGATTTTCTGAATAATTTGACATTAAATGTTACCATCATGTCTTGGTGTTCAGTTTTTCGAATACAACTGGAAACATTCATCTCTTGTCTTTAACGACTCCAGAAACTACGACTCTCGGGCCACCATTGGAAAGACGACGCAGAAATTCTGACTCTGACTTGTACTACAAGGCAAGAAATAGGGAGGATGAACAAACAGAGAACGAACCAGAACGAGCTTTTGAAGATGGAGCGGTTATGGATTTCGACAAGCGTATGTTCGTAGAGAATTATTTACGGAATATCCCTGAAACACCCAGCATGACGACAGAGACAAGTGACAGCGGAATAACAACACATGGTTTAACGTCTGAGATAGAAATGCAAGACATATCTGGTAATTATTTCATCTTAGTCCCAGCATCTCAGTTTCCAAGCTGAATCGTAAAACACCGAGTTAGTCTGCCAGTAACCCATAAGAGAACTATTCTGAGGTTAGAAGTGGGGAAAGCATCGGGTCTCTTGAAAAGATGTCTGGGTTACAAGAGAATTGAACGGAATGACCTCTTAAGGAATTAACGAGATTCTGAATCGAGATCTTGCTCAATGTTTTTAAAGTAAAACACTGACATCAGTCGAGAACCCCCACTACTACTTAAACAACAACCAAAACTAAAGGAGAACTACAAGATCATCAGTTTGTGTCGAGCTTTCACTGGGTTACTCTTTACCATATTCGATTTCGCAAAGAATTGCATGATGCTACCCTTGATAATAGAAAAACAATAATGGTAATGGTAATAATAGTGAGAAGCTCCCCCGCCCCCGCTTCCTCTTTATTTTGAATCCAGTGGACAAAGAAGAGCCACCCAGTGGAATGTCCATTGCTAAATTATTTATTTATTTATTTATTATTTATAATCTCTTGCTTCTTTGTATTCTTTGCCTTTTGTTAGATGGCGACCGCAAGCTTTGCCTGAAAGATCTCAATGAAGACGTAATCAGAAGACTGAGTTTAAGACTGAAGAGTGATGAAGCTGCTCTGGAACAAATCCTTCAGTCATTTGGAATTGATTTTCCCGGGGCATCCTCTAAAATGAAGGGCGGTACAGGTATTTTCTCTATGTTCCCGGACACACCTGTTAAGGTATTAAGAGAGGTCTCTGAAGCTTTGCAGTTATATGATCTGATAGATTTGCTTGAAGAAGGAAAACTACGAATCACGAGATCTCTGCGACACGCTCTTCCTTTACGGGAAATAGAGAAGTTGAGGAATCCTGGTGATCGTCCCATGTCTTATCACAGCAGTGTTGCTGTTCTGATTATTGACTCTACCGAGACTAGCGACACTGTGGGGATTAAAAAGTTTTTCAAAGGTCTTAACACTTAGAGCGAGGTAACTGTGATACCCTTCAAAGAGTATGCTAGTCAAAATGAAAAAAAGGCAGTGCTTAAGTATAGAATATTCAAAAGAGAGCGTCTCTTACAAGGAGGCTCGTTGGCATTAAAAGACCTTAAGAAGAAGAGGGAGTGGGAGGAGAATTTGAAGGAGATGAAGGAGAAGTCGAAGGAGATGGAAGAGAAGTCGGAGATGGAGTGGGCCAAGCGTAGATCGATTATTTCAGAAGTCATACAGAGTTGGATATCCAACCAAGGTTGGTGGAAATTTATAAACGGATATTTACTTAAAAAAAGATCGTAGTTGTCGTGTTATGTTTTCATACTACGAAGTGGCACCAATTTATTAGTTTAACCTGCCTGGTCTTCATCACGGGTCTATGGTAGTTGCATAATTGACTGGTGAGTGTTATCACCTAAGGACATCAGTACAAGGACATCAGCACAAACTTTGATGGTACCGTGAACGTAGACGAGAACGGTGTTGAGAACGGTGTTGTGGTTGCACCATGAGATCCTTGTCCAAAGGCTGACAAGTTTCTTAGAGAATTCAAAACTTAATACTGTGGTCTAAGAATCGATTAAAATCAACAGGAACGAGGGAACATTTAGCATGCAAAACAGAAGTCCCTTTAGCGTATGCGGGCAGGCGGAGCTAAGCGCGAAGCAAGCACAGAATGGAAGACACGCGCGGGAGGAGGCGCCAGTTACACGCTCCTCCTCCCGTGTGCGACTCGCCCTTCGCGCTTTCCTCGCTTTCTTCTTGTGTTTTCCTCTGCTTGCTTTACAAATGTTCAAGAATAACGTCTCTTCTTTAGGCGAAGGAACAGTTAAGACTGACCGTAAATATTGAGAATCCGCCTACTGTCGCAAAATTTCGTAATTCATTTTATTTTTTCTAAAGGACCCTTTTAATGAAGCTTTTTCGAAATTTATATCAAAAAGTTCTGTCGCGCTTTTTTTTCTCCAAAAAATCGAAAAGTTCAAAATACGCCTTAATAGCCGTTGTTCCCTCC